CTCTACACACACACTAGCAAACGCATGCTGGACACACAGCGCTCATGCCCACAGCAGACCAGTGTGTGTGTGAGAGTGTGTGAGCTCTTACCCAGCTCAGTTATCATTGGGATGTTGGTCCCGCTACTCTTGTCCTGGCTCAGAGAAACCAGGGGCAGCAGCTTGTCTGTTTTAGCTAATGATCAGCATAAAACAACCGGCCGGTTACTCCAGCACAAACACACAGAGCACTCGCACACATTAGAGAAAGATCAGCCTCACAGCGCTCCTCCAGAACACACACTCACATGCCGAGCCTTTGGGTTAGTGGGATTTCCCAGTACAGTTCCATCATCAGGTGAACAGCAGGATAACACACACCCAGTTATCGCAGATTATCACACAGGAATACTTGATTCTGATTGGCCAATCAAGACATTCCAGTGTAAACTAATAACACACACTCTACCAATCATCTTGTCCATTAGTGAATATACTGATTTAAATACAGTGTTGTGGCCAGAATGAATGAATATCTGTATGATGTACAACCAACAAGCGGTTATTGACATTATTACACTGGATTACTTGATTCTGATTGGTCAATTCTCCAGTCACAGCTGATGAAGACTCAGTAATGACCATTAGTCAATATATTCCTCTATAGAGGCCAGTATATATCAGAGGCCAGTATAAATATACATATATTAGCATATTATTATTGCAGGAGAATTCTTGATTCTGATTGGTCAACAATTGTTTATTCTCCAATAGCAGCTAATTAAACTGATCACACAGGAACAGGATGGGAACTATATATACTGTTTGTGTGTGTGTGTGTGTGTGTGTGTGTGTGTGTGTGTGCGCGTGCAGGATGCATGTGTGTCTCTTTCCCTTTTGTGCGTGTATGATGCGTGTGTGTGTGTGTGTGTGTAGGATGCATGTGTGTCTCTCTCTCTTTTGTGTTGCATGTGTGAGTGTGTGTGTGTGTGTGTGTGAGTGTGTGTGTGTGTGTGTGTGTGTGTGTGTGTG